TGAGCAATAGCATCAGCAGAGCATCAGCTTCTGTTCCGGTTCATGGGCAGCAAACCTCCAACAGAAAATAATATACACACTTAAATGTATACAGAATTGTAAGAAACCCTAATTTGGTCCTGCCAGAAACCAAGAAAGAAACACATTTCCCAAACATTAAGCAAATTGGTACTTGATATCCTGTTTTGGAAAAGAATAGCTTTTTTATCATTATTGATGTCGTTTTAATGAACTACATGGGAGACTATTATGCACCAATCAATTCCAAGAGTGCCAAATAGGAGTTCACTAATGCAGGAATAATGGTATCGTGTAGAGTGGTTCAGAAGATGTAAATTGCTACATCACCAAACGTTTTAACCACAAAATCACTTTTACGCAATATAACAAAGGAGCCATGAACATAATAATGATTTGAATTGTCTGAAATGATCTGTTTGAAAAAGAAATTGAGCTGGTGGACTTGTGCGATTGTGTTCTGCTGAACCTTTTCCCATTTGTGGTAATGTGAATTCCCTTCCTGGTTTGAGGATGTCCGGGAGCACTGCAGGTGGAAAGCCAAAAGCCAAAGCCAGTCTCTGCTCATTAACCTTTGACTGGACCGAGAACAAGTCTTTAAAGAGCCTTAATTATCTGATGAGATGGCCTCTGGGAAAAGTGTATGAACAATGGTGGCCATGGGTTTTGCTACTATAGAAACCACTTTTTGAGAAACATTGCAAACACCAGATTGTTGACCTTAAAAAAAACAATCACGCTATCTATACATTCTAGTGGCATTCTAGTGGAAAAGTTCACTTTCATACAACTTCAGAGTTGTTATTTAAGTAAGGTCTGATTTCCTGTAATGGATGGCCTCTGTAGATCCTTCTAGATAAATGTATCAGTCACATGCACAGTACAAATGAGGATACAGTCATTGAAATAACATTTTGATGATGGGCATCAAGGCTGCAGCGACCTGAGTGCTGCCTCTCAAAGACGAGGAGAGACTGCAGAGAGCAAACATACTTTGAAAGGCAATATTGATCAAATAGAAGAAAAAACATGTACTTATTGTAAATACATGGATGTTTGATAATATCAAACATCCATGCATTTACAATGATATTTTTCACAATCGGCAAGAAGCAATTTGTCTTTTTCAATAAGGGATCAGTGAAAGAGAAGACGACTGCAAAACAACAGAATCATTTGAACTTGAAATCAAACCCATGAGCAACGTAACTTATACAGGCTTTTATCTTTACCAGATTGGATTATTGCAATAGTATTTCAGGGCTCAGCAAAAAAAAAAAAACACACGACAGCTGAAGCTGATTCAAAATGCAGCAGCAATAGTCCTCACAAACACACACAAAAATTATCATATCACGCCAGTTTTACAATCTTTACATTGGCTTCCAGTCTGTTGTAGAAGAGACTTTAAAGTGCTTCTCCTGGTGCACAAGGCACTGTATGGCCCCAAAATATGTGCAAGATATGCTTTGCTCCTTTATGAAAATGTCTGACCAAGTGTGTTTCACCAAACCTAATTGTCCGCTGGCCCCTGGGTGAAGGTTCCATGACATCCACATTAGTTCAGTAATTAGAAACACAAGAGAATAATTTAATAAAAGTGTCCTTATTGGTGAAGCCAGTACACATTTCTTTTACTAAGTGTTTAAAGTTCAAGTAAAAAATGTGGAAATGTGAGAAATACATCACATGCTTCTCAAGCAAACAAGTGAATTGTACTTACAGTATATACACACACTTATGTAATGCAGGGGTGTCCACACTGTTTAAGAGGGCCACTTTAGTTCACCATGCTTGTCCAGGGGCCAACAACACGGATTGTAAAACTACTGAACAATAAATGACCATCTCATATTCTGGTTTTAATCCTGTTAACGGAATTATGTGACAATCAAAAACAAGTGTCAGTAAATACAAGTAAAGTCAACAGCTGATATGCAGGGGTTTTGAACTTCTCAACCAGGTTTATAATCTTATATTGTCCATAAATGTTGATAAATGTTGATAAATGTCCATAGATGTTGTACTATAGTTGTCCGGTGTCTCTGATAGTATTTATGTTGATGTGTATGAAATAGATTATGCATGTTTAAAATACATATTCAAATCTAAATCTAGGAGAAGATTTTCGGGTTATTCTTCTGCCATCTTTGCTTCACACTTAATTCCATCCTGTGGTAAAACCTTCCTCTGCTGTTTAGGTGTCATTCAAGTCAGATGCAAAACACGTGCAGAACATGCAAATGACGCCACCACAAGGGCTCTGTCAGACAGTTACATCAGCACACCTCAGGACCAGATGAATGTAAATGGACTGAAGACTGAAATGAGACATTTTATATTCTGTCAAATTACAACGTCTGTCACACAGCTCCTGCAGCACACACACACACACACACACACACACACACGAGCACACACACACACTCACACACAAATGCACGCACACACACATGCACACACACACACACACGCACGCACACACACATGCGCACACACACACATGCAGCACACACACATGCGCACGCACACACACACACACACACACACACACACATTTTGACCATAATTTGAAATCCAGTTGGACCATTTTGAGGAATTATTTAGAAATATAACAAATTAGAGCCAGCACAGTACATACAGTATTATTCATACTTCAGGATGAGTAATAGAACTCTCTAGGCACCAAAGTTCATTCCCTATACTTTTTTGTACATTTAAAGAATTACATGTTATTGATTATGGTAGTCTTCCATCTTGTATCTGTCCATCCATCCATCCATCCATTTTGATAGTTATTTAGCTACAACATTTCTCTCTTGTCAGAAACAGACCTGGAGTTGTTTTTAGCTCCCTCCATGCTAATAAAAGGAACTTCTGGAACAAACATGTGACTCTCCTTCTGTCTAAAAGCTCCTGTCTCAGTGAATATGACATCATTGCACCACTATGACATCACACACCACAACTAAATTACAGCCTAAGAATTAGTTAGTTCTTTACAATGATTTGGGGGTGTGTACAACATTGATTTCTTTTTCAAATTGAAAGAAAAAATATAAAAAACGTAAATGTGACCCCTTCTTCTGGTAGTTGTAATGGGACATGGCAGCTCAATAGCTTTTTAAAGGGTTGTTTGTAAAGTATACAAACAATAATGGTAACAATTGTTGATAAAACATGTTCAATTCTATACCAGAAACGTTCTACTTCTTGACATCTACACATGTCAAAAAATGTACTAATATAAAATAATATATTTTTCATTTTTTTTCTTAATTGCCAGTTTTATTGTATATAACATATCCTGCATTTAACATGTGTGCACACTTCTTTCTTTGCACAAAACTTTTTTCTTCTTGAGTGATTCTATCCATGCCAGATGTGACATGTACATTTCTACTGTGTGTGAGATCAAAAAAGTCTATCTTATCTTATCTCTTATCTTATTTGACAATATTGGTCAAACTGTGAATGTAGAGTGCATTTAATGAAGTAAAAATGTGTGACTTTTCCCATCACTGCTTCAATGACACATAGACTCGTTTTGGATGGATCAAGATATGATTTAGTTTAAATTGTGGAGTCTGCAGATATTTGAGCGAGCGATTATTTTAGTTCCTGTTGAAATGATATGTTTTATGAATGGTGCGTGAGTAGCATCGTTGTCATGTTTTTAAGAGCGACGCAAAGAGCCAGAGGCGTTGTTGACTTCCATTTAGATTATTAATGAAAAGAATCACTCTCACATAACCCACAACTACATTCTAATCTTTCTACAATGTGAATTTGTCTTTATATATTATTTAAGTTTACTCTTGCAGTGTGCCTCTTGCGTGTCAGAAGAAGCACAGGACGGGACGGCGCAAGGGGAGTTTGGAAAATTCAAAATCGCTTAGATGCAATGTTTTTCATCTTCCTTTCTGCCGTTCAGTCTTTAATCCCATGATTAAGTTTGTAATCTAAAGCTAATTCTCCCTCGGGCCCTGCTCTGCTCGGTGCGGCCCGGGTGGCACAGGCACTCGGGGAACACAGCTGTAATTATCTTCTTCCACCCTGAGCACAGCCACAGCTCAAATGTCTTCTGCAGGTTTTTTGTTTAACTGAGCCAATGCAGATTCAGGCTCAGGATATGGATATGTTGGCATGAATAGATCCTGTTTGTATGTGCAGGGCAAAAATATAAATCAGTCAATCAAATCAATCAACTTTTATTTGTAGAGCGCTTTTCCTACACAAGGCAACACAAAGCGCCTCACAAGCCACATCACATCAGGCATAAAGAGAAAAAAAGGATTCAAAATAATACTATTAAAACCATACAGGGAATTTAAACCACACAATAAGATCACAAGAAATACTAAAAACATAGCAAATACAATCCCACTAGTAACTAAAACCAAATTTTTAGGAATTTGGTTTTCTTCTCCTCTTTTTGAACAAAACTCTCTGGTCTTATTTGACGAGCACGTATCACCAGAATGATTGACAATTGGGAGGACCAGTAGTCTTGATGATCCACCTGGAAGTAGAAAATCCTCCTATATGACTTTAACACTGTAAAATAACACATGAGATTAACCACAGTGCATTAGAACAAACAAAGTAAAGATGAAATCATTCAGTTGTATGCACAGCTAAATAGGACCTACAGTTGGAAACTGCCAGTGTAGACGCCTGTCTCACATTCTCAGAAAGACTGTTCATTTTATCTGCATGAATCTGAAATGCTGCATCACAACGACAGCAGTAATCAATGGGAGTTGTGAAGTAGGTCTTGCGGTGGGCTCGAACCCACGACCTTCAGGCTCAAAGGCCAATGCTCTACCAACTGAGCCACTGTCGCCCTATACATTAATAACTAAATAAATAGAAAGATAGATAGATACTATTCTCAATGAAGTCACTATATTCCAGACTGCGTACATTGACTCAAGACCTGTGTGCTAACTTCAACGTGTTGTTTTGTGATTGTTCCACAGGGGGCGCTGGTCACGGCTTGTGCTGACGATACGCTGCACTTGTGGAACCTGCGTCAGAGGAGGCCCGCCGTCCTGCACTCACTCAAGTTCAACAGAGAGCGGTGAGAGATGTTTGAAATCATGCTCTGTATCGTTCCGCCACAGCTGTTGCCATAGTAACCGTCACAGCTGGAGCAAATAAACTGTCAATCAGGCGACAAGCCGTGGCGACTCATAGCGTCAGGTAACATGGATTTCAAAGTGAATTTTTACATTTTTGGACATAACAAAACCTTTGAGGAGTGGGAAGAAGAAGAGAACCAAGAATAAGAATGGCAAACGCAACGATACCTATTTGGTAACACAACACAACAACATTCGGTACTGTTCATATTTACATGGGTTACATGCTGGAGGACATCAAGAAACATGTGTGCAAATGCAGTTTAGTTTAGATTGCTTGTGCTTTATAATGTAGAGTTTAAGAGATGAGAGATGTACTTCATCTAGAAGTTATATAAAAGTATAATTGCCTACTGCTTCATTGTATAAGTAGATGGTCTCATTCAGGGTAATAAATGAATCAACATTATGATACCATAGTAAAAATAGTTTATGAGGATTGCTATTTTCCTGTGTCATCATGTTTACTGTGATCCTTCTTCTTTGTGTTCATGTTCTTTTAACCTCTATAATTCTTCAAACTTAAGATAAACCAGGAGTTTGCTCTTTTATAAGATTGAACACAGATTGGTGGCTCTCAGTGTGGTTGTTAACTTTCTCAAATGCTAAACGTTTGGCTATCTGCTTTGGAAAACTTGTCTTTTTTATTTCAGAAAGCTAACGTTAGCTGTATAATCTCGGGTCTCTTCAATCGTGCATTTCAGTTTCTCAAAACAGACCTTTTTGTGATAAGAGGGTGTTACTATTCTGGAAAATGACATATCACAAAATGATGTTACGCTGTTTTTTATTCATTCAGATGAAAAGAGGCCACTGTAGAAATGTATTTTCACAAGTAAGTGAGTAATGTTCATTTCCATGGCACATTTTACAGATTACAATGTTCAGAGATCAGATATTGTTCCAGTCTCTCCAAACACGGCAACCAACACCATCCATTCAGTCTCTCATGTTTTTCTCATGTTTTAATGGTCGGACCTTTGAGAAGCGAGAGTGCTACTCAGCCACATGTCACCACTAAACTGACAAAACGTAAAGCGTGGTCATAGGAACACAGCTGAAAAAACAGTTCATCATAGTTGGTTTTAACCTTTGAGAAGTTCAGATTGAGCTGAGCTGCACCGCGCCTTTATTAAAAATATAAAACACAACATTTTGTCAAAGCAGTTTTTCTCCCTTGCTAAAAAGTCAAGGACAAAGACATCTGCAGAAATTACTTTTAGCTTTGCTCAATATGATGTTACATAAACTATCTTTTGATGGCGTATAAAGCAGCCCTGATATGTTTTTATACTGCTCTGAAATGAAAATCAGTTGGATGTGTCGAGCTCCGTTTTGGATGTGGAAGCAAAAGGTTTCTTCCACTGAGTCATGGCTTGATTCTCTTTCTCACTTCTGCTTTGTCATTGGAGCCAAGCCGACATCTTCCTAACGTCGCCTTTTTGAATACGCTTCATTACGCAACGACCTTAAACGATAATGGCCGTGAAGCATTAGTTGCCTCTCTGTCCACATGTTTTTTCAAAGTTTTATGAAACAGGATTTACACCATTAGTCATTGAAGGACCAAAGCCAGTTAGTTTTCTCTCCTTATACGCAAAACTTTTAATGGTCAACCCAGGGACAGACAGCGCTGCTAAACTTTGCCTTGTTTCAAAACGCCTTCAGACGAGAAAAAGGGAAAAAGGCCATCATGAGCCGGGCATCGGGGGCCGGGTAGCGTCTTGTCATTTATCTCAATGTCCCTGCGTTGAAACTCGGACAATTAGCACCTCTCAGACCCGAAATCCCACATGAACGAGGAATGAATCACAGCCACAGCGAGCCAATTGTTTAGTGATAATTGTAGGCATCTCGCATGTGCCTCCCCTGATTGTCAGCCTGCTGTCAAAACCCATCAGAGACAAGTCAAATCAGACAATGGGCTTTTAGGAGCCGTCCACACAAAAAGCAATGACTCAATTTCAATCAATCAACGTTTATTTATAGAGCGCCTTTCCTACACAAGGCAACGCAAAGCGCCTCACAACCCATATAACATCATGCATAAATCATCAAACATTAGAATTTAAGTAAACATAAAAAGACAGATTAAGAGCACAAGATATATAAAATCACACAAGTAGTTAAAAACCGTAAAACATTAAAATCACACAAGGGATTACAATCATAAATAATCATAAATAATCATAGCGCATTAAAAAGATTAAAGATAAAAACAAATATAAAATCATTCACTTGTATGCACAGCTAAAAAGAACTGTTTTCAGTTCAGTTTTAAAAACTGCTAGAGTAGACGCCTGTCTCACACTCTCGGGAAGACGGTTCCAGACTCTAGCTGCATGAATCTGAAACGCAGCCTCCCCATATCTAGTTCCGACTCTTGGCCCTAACAGAAGTCCAGTCCCTGTGCTCCTCAGAGCCCGAGTTGGTTCATATGGCACCAACATGTCGCGGATGTACCCTGGTGCGAGGCCATGGAGAGACTTGTACACAAGTAAAGCTACTTTAAAATCTATTCTCTGAGCCACAGGAAGCCAGTGCAGAGACCTGAGGACCGGACTAATGTGGTCGTACTTCCTGGTCAGGACTCGAGCTGCAGCATTTTGGATGTACTGCAGCTGTTTTACCGCTTGTTTAGAGAGACCTGTGAACAAGCCATTGCAGTAGTCCAATCGACTGGAGACAAATGCGTGGATAAGAATCTCCAAGTCTGCTTTAGACACAATGTTCCTAATTTTAGCAATGTTTCTTAGGTGGAAGTAAGCTGATGATGTCACAGATGATATGTGGCTATTGAAATTTAAGTCTGAGTCCATTATTACTCCTAGATTTCTGACCTGAGTTGAGGGTTTTAGGGAGAGAGACTGGAGGTGGCAGATAACGCTCTCTCTTTGTTTTTGAGGTCCGAAAACAATAATTTCAGTTTTTTCTGTGTTTAGCTGGAGAAAGTTATTTTGCATCCAATCACTGATTTGTTGGATACAGTGAAGGAGCGAGTCCACTGGTCCAATTTGTATCAGAGTAAGTAAGTAAGTTTATTTGTATAGCGCCTTTCACAGACCAGGATCACAAAGCACTTCACATTTAAAGCATACAGATAGATATTTTACACATACAAGTCAGATTTAAAATCAAAGGCATACAGGTACAGCAAATTAGGTCCTTGTGAATGCAAAAACGTATATTGCAATTAGGGGTAATAGAATACTTTTTAGAATGAAATGCTGAAAAAGAAAATGTCCAGATGTTTTTCCAGATAATTATTACCATTTTCTTATATATAAAAGTCCTTTCAACTGGCCAAAATGCATTTTTTGGAGGGGATTTGACCCTAATATGTCTAATATTTATGATAAACTGATTAGACAAGAGTGTATGAATGTACTGACAAAAGATAATTCATGATTTTATTTCATAGGGATTGGTCCAGGAATTCCAGCAAGAAAGAGAAAATAGGCTCCTATGTTTTGATATCACATGAACACAACCTATTCTGGTAACAAGGGTTTGTGTTACTAACATGACTAGTAAATGAAATGGATAGATTGACACACCAAACTGTTGCAAGGTCCAAATTTAAAGGTGCAGTTTTTAACAGGAACTTACAACTTTACAATCCCATTAACTTGAAAGTTGTTGGTATAAAATCCACTACCTCCATTGCATGCTGTTGGCTCATCCTTGCCCATCACAATTTCTCTTTGTGTGATTTCAGCCACACGTCCATTCCATTCTGCCCCAGGGCAACCGTGGGTCCTGCAATAGTTGTGGCACCAAAAGTAAAGTACCAAACTGTAAAGAAATATTACAGCATTTAAGTGAAAATCGTCTTGAAACCACTTGCGGCGAGGTGGGCGGATAATCAATGAATGCATACATCTGTTGTTTCATTACTGCTGTTAGTTCTTTAAGAGTCCTGTGTGGGCAGCAGCTCTCAGTCCACTTACATCTTCTCTGCGTCTGGGCTAAATGCAGCCTGGTCCGACTGGCTGGAGTCACAGCTTTACTGCCCTCTTGAACTGTACTTAAAAAGAAAAATACGACCTTCCAGTAATCCACTAATCCTTCTCAATTTCATTTTCATCCTTGACTTGAGTTCAATTCTGCCGCTGTTTATTTAGAGGCTCGTCTGGTTGTTCTGCTTTGTTTTTTGGACTTTACTTATGAAACAACACTGTTTAAAACTGCGCCAAAAACAGATTTAGAGTTTAGATGGGGCAAATATCTTGAATGTTCATAAATAATAAATGTTGTTTGTCCCAACAAAAAGATTCTTGCACAGTTCGAATGTTCAAAGACTCAAAGATGTCTGCCTTGTGTTCGGAATATGTGGAATGAGGAATAATACACATGGCATTATTCATTCACTGCATACACGGTGCTGATAAGCTACTACTGTTACCACAGCTGCCCTGGGGCACACTGACTGAAGCGGGGCAACCAGTATATGCCATCTGCCATCATTCACACACACACACACACACACACACACACACACACACACTAGACTCATACTAGACAATGCGGGTGAAGTGTGTTGCCAAAGGACACAATAACAGTTTGACACTTCACAGGAGAGTTATAAAGTTGCATGGATTTTGCATAGTTCAGGTTTTTCTGATTTCAATACCATTCATTGTTAGCAGGGAAGTTATTCCACCTGGACAAAACATTATTTTATGGATTCTGCGTCTAAAAAACATTGCACTCAATTGATTGTGCATTGCACTACTCGTTAATTTATTTTCAAAACAACATACAAACATAAATGGTACAAGATCATAATTTATTGTTGAGTGACACTCAAGTGGCAACAAGAGTTCTTAATCAAATCAAGAATCCCAAAATGTTGGTAATTTTAGTTATAATACTACTTATTAATCAAATTATAATTATGAGAAATCAAAAATAAAATCAATAATCAGTCAATAGAATGTTGACTGGTGTTAATAAGTTGTTCTAAGAATGGGGGAAACAAATCTCGGGAAATGTCTTTTTACTTCAGAAGTCTCGTGAAAATCCTGTGATTTTCTTCTAAAACATGCTTTTCTTATTAATGCTGCAATTTGTTTGGGTAATGCAGGCAATTATAAATGTTGTGTAATTGTTATCCATACATGGACACACACCAGGGCTATGTTTGACTCTGTTGCTGGAACATAAACAGACACACGCTCGCTTTGGATGTGCATCCGCCTGGGTAACTCAGGAACTGTAATGAAAAATGTCATTATTTATACAAACTGCATTTATCGGCTTTGGCCTACTCCTTTTGGGTTTTTATAACAGTGCATCAGGTAATGATGCAAACTATGTTTGTAAGAATTGCTCAAATAAATAAATAAACCTAAATGTTAATCACGCCTTCTTCAGGAATCCGTAAAGATCTGTGGCTCCTCCCCCTTTATGTAACTCCATGAACAAAAACATGAGAAGCATAAAGAAAACCTTTGAATTATTCACTTTCAGGTGACTGTTTAGCAGGTGAAGTGCAGGTCATAGAACAACAGAGCTCAGACTCTATTCTTAGATTTAGATCATTGTCTGAAGCAAGTGCTTAGTATACATAAACCTGGAACAGCTTCTCTCCACGAGCTGGTGTCAGTTTAAACAGAGCACTTTGATTATCTTTCACTTTTGGTTGATCTATTTCACAGTGCAATGTTTCCTGTACTTTTTAGTATTTTTTCTTTCTGTACTTTAAACCTTGTTTATGTATACACTTGTCTCCTTAATCTCTTAAAAATATGATATTATTATCATCTCATAACTAGTCCAGAAGTGGTAAAATAGTAAACCAAAATAACAATGCATGATGTGGCCAGTCAACAATTCTTTCAAAATTGCAATTGCCTCCAACTGAAGTAGAATTCGAGCCCTATTAGGAAAATGTATTGAATGAGCTGATCGCCCCAATCACAATCCTCTTGCAGAACGAAGTTACAAATATATGTAAGACGGAGAAGGGGGGTGGTGGGTCCAGAGAGCGTCAAACTGGGGCCGATGCACTTCCTTAACCCTTTAATGTTCACTCCTGGAAGGAAGCAATTTTTTCTTTCTTTTTTCAAAGATGTGGGAGAACCAATGGTGTAGGTTTGGTTCCAATCTTGGTGGGGACATTCACTACGACCTGAGTCTACACCCATTGACACGGGGTCCAGAGTTTCTCCCCCAGAATTTGTTGTGTAATCACACACTATATTTGCAATAGTGTGTTGCCTTCTATACTAAACTCAGCTGTAGACTGAATGAGAAGCAGTTAAGGATTTTTTCTAATCGTTAAAACAAAATCAATTGGATCAGAAGTTTTGTGTTGCGTTCATTCTAACTTTGTCCACAAGATGGCTTAAATGTTTATAGTAAATAAGATAGTAAATATATCCTGTATTCAGGATCAGGCTGATATGGTTTACAACCTATCTCAAATATGCTGTCCCTGGCACTTTCTTGAGAGTGACTCTCATTGGCTGCCTCCTAAATAGCAAATACACTGTTATGAAACTTTAAAAAATCCCATATTTTAGCTTCATAAGCCCAGCTTCGATATCTGCCTGCACTACATCTTCCCTGAATACCTGAGTTCCCTATAATAAATAAAACACATGTAGTGCATAAACAAATCAGATCTAAGCATATACAAAATAAAACCACCAACAAAACCAAATAAATACTTCCAACCTCACCTGAAGCCCTGAAGGTCCAGCCACTTCCTCATCCTCTACCAGCACTGCACATTCCCTGTTTGTCTGACTTTCCTTTATGGTATTAATAAAAACACACATTCTACATTGAATAAAATGAAACCTAGGCATGGTACACCAGTCGCTAAATATCTCATGAAACTAGAATTGGTTGATGGGTCTAAGATTATAACTGCTTAATCCTAACCTCACCTGGAGTCCTGTCTTGTCCTTGTCTTTATCTCCTTCTTGAATTTCCATTATATCTCTCAGAGTGTCCTATATTTAGTAAAAGATTTCAGACAACACTTTTTGCATCATTATAGTAGTAAAATATGTTGTAATTGGCATAGGTAATTTCCAACCAAATGATGTTCTTTAACTTTAGTATGATTCTATACTGACTTAAACCTAATCCAAATCTACATAATAGCCCTCACCTGAGGCTCTAACAGTTCAGGAACTGCTCTCGATACTTGAAATAAATCATGCTCTGATCTTTCAATTTCCTATAATAAATAAAAACAGAGGAGAAAATATTGAATTAGAATCTACAGTGAGTAGCTCACTACATTGTTTGACATATACGATCAATCTCTAAAAACAATTCATAGTCCCATGCATACCTACAAAATTCCAACCTCACCTGATGCACTGAAGGGCCTGTTGCTTCTACCTCAACATTCCCTATATTGTTCTCTCTTGGTGGTTGAGTTTCCTATGTATGTTAACAGAAGATTAATCATCACAATTCATAATTTGCTATTACTTGTGCTTTCTCTTACTTACTTTCCAACTGTTAAAAAAGCTCCTGATATCTTTTATCTTTTTTTGTGGAGGTGGCATTTTTTCTAAATTATATAAGAAGGTATAGACAATCAAAAACAGACATTCATATACATGAACTGCAGAATCATTTATATAACTTGGCCAATGTCAAAAGTTACATAGTATTTCTCAATACAATGAGTTAACAAGAGTTTGGCAATAAGTAACAGTGTGGATTTTTCTATATTTTCTTTTTTTTATTCCACTCTCTACCCAAAAAGGCAAGTAATGACTCACAGGGTTCTCAAGTATTCAAAATAAAAACTTAAATGACCTGTTGTGGTGTGTTTTGCGCACAACCAGCATGCATCGTTAACGCAATGGAAAATTTAGATATCCGAGCTTTAATTTCGGGAGCGCTGGTTGCGCTTTGGGAAGAGTCAGGGGAGAGACATGTCAGAGACACAGGGGAGAAACGCGGGAGATACGAGGGAGACCCGCACTTGCAACATGGTTCTGTCTGCATATGGTCCGAGCTTGGTACCATGTTAGAGCTGTGCTTTCACTGAGCGCCGCGGCTGTCATTACAAAGCGGCAGCAGCTGCACCAGGACGTGCACATTCGAGTGCATCGCTTGAATGTGCTTAGAGCAAAGAACAGCAAGTGCCCGCTGTCACACATTTCACAGAAATTACATTATCAGCAGATAAAGGTTGTAAATCGTGGATCCGTGGAATATTTTCATCCCTAGTTTATCCTGATTCACACAACACACCCACTTATACATTTTGGATAGTAAGAGCACAATAAGTATTTTTTCAGCCTTTCAACCAACCTGTTTCTTTATCGGAGCCAGTTCTGTTCTGTCTCTGTGCCGTGTGAGCTCCTCGGAACATTAAACAGTGCGCTGACAGATTAGAAATAACGTAAGTACTTTGAATGGTAATAGATCTACAGTACTTTCCTCTGATTACTCACGTGCTACAACGCTCAGGGAACGAAAAAAAACACTTGCTTCACGCTGGCTAACTTAAAAAAATTAAACAGTCGCTCAGTGCTTCAGTTTGGCGCTGAAGAAGACAGCCAATCACTGCAGAGAACGGAACGGGTCACGTGCTGCTGCTGCTGCTGTTGCTCTGGAGGCGAGGAGGAGGCGCGACGTGTGCACAAACGGAAGACATGTGTCCCGGACCGTCCGGGTCACGGGACATCATGTCATTTTGGTGGGGACTTTTTAGTCCTCACCAAATATTGGTGGGGACATGTCCCCATGGTCCCCACGCAAACCTACGCCCTTGGGGAGAACTAATAATAACACAAATAATATTACCAAATAGTTGAGATGCAGTTTGATGGTAAAAGTGAGTAAAAATAAGTGATGGAGATGCCCCAAAGAAGTCAAGTAATTATAGCGACTCAAAACGTGATCCACCAAAGTACTCGAGGAAACCATTATAGGGTTTAGACGCTTCCGGGAGTTCCAGGCCCTCTGCTCCTAATCTTGAGTTAACATATTAACTACATTTATCATCTTTTACTACAATCAGCTTCACAACTTTCTGCACAATGAGCTTCAGTGAGTTATGAAGAGTGATATGTGAAAAAACTTCCATCCTCTGTACCTGTAATCCAGCCTCACACAGACACGTTCAAACCTTGGTCAATGAACGCCGAAGCTGAAGTCCTTTATAAATACTGTGTTCTAACCTGTTGCCTCTCTGTCTCTCTGTTCTCCAGGGTCACATTTTGCCACCTTCCCTTTCAGAGTAAATGGCTGTACGTGGGGACGGAGCGCGGCAACACTCACATTGTCAACATCGAGTCCTTCGTTCTGTCTGGATATGTCATCATGTGGAACAAGGCCATCGAGCTGTAAGTCGCTTCTTTTATAAGTCAACCCTGAACGGTTTTTTATTCATATATTTTAGTTGTGGACATGACAAAACACCACATAATACAGATACTTTTCAAATAATTGTAGTCTTGTCACTCAAATGAAAAGCAGCAGAAAGAAGAAGACAAAATATTATACTGCCTGCCCCTTTCTGAAAAAATGCACAAATTAAAATATAATTAAGGTGGACTTCAGCACTCCTCCTTCAAACATTTTCTATTTGAATTTATATTCTTAATTTGTTTTCAAAAGCAATTCATTTCAAGAATTTTTGTTGATCGTTAATTTTTGTTTAAATGGGAAAACAGCAGGAATTGACTATAAATAATTTTGTGTTGGTAGTTTTCGTATCCTAGTATTAACCCGCCTCACCCCATGTCTGAAGTAACTGTCATATATAGTTAATTGGACTGCCCCATGCACAGTTAAAAGGGTTGAAGCATCAAGACATGTTTGCAAATGACTTTACTGATGACCCATGACCATTACAATTAAACTGTTGTGCACTTTGTGGAGTTGCCCGGTACTTGACATAATGGTCTTCAGATGGACAGCTTGATGCATGCTCCGCCACAGTAACCACAACTTACCACGCTGCTTGTTTGTTTGCCTGGCTCTTTCCCGCCCACATGCGTTTGCCGGAGTGTTACAATGACAAGTGCCTCTCGCGGTGTCACTCACAGTCACTGTAGGGCCACACCATCTCGTTGCCTCCTGACAGCCCAAACTCCGGCCAAGTCTCACAACACGAGCTGTGCGTGTGGGCGTCCTGTCTGCCAATCACCCACTGTGCCGTCACACATCTGCTGCTGTACACGAGAAAATTACTGCAAAAGCTTAAAAATGCACACTAACATTTTACTATATGAAGGTGCACTACATTGTGTACGACGCCGTTGTGCTACTTGCCCTGATGGACTAAATGCTGAAAGACAATGGCATTTTCTATGAGGTAATAAAGGCTTTTAAATATTTCACCTTTTTGAACGCCTCAGTTGTTTAAATTTTGTTCAGGGAGGTGGGAACTCGATTAGGATGAGACTTCACTAATTTCTTGATACAGACACATGCACGTTGCTGATGTGCATCCACCTGGGTATCTCAGGAACTCTAATGGAAAGTGTCATTATTTATGCAAACTGTATTTACCATTGTTACCCCTATTGTGGTTTATCTGCAGCTGAATGTAATCACTCAGAATAGGGGTAGGCACTTTTAAGATTTCTTGCTTTGGCCTACTCTTTTTTGGTTTTTAAAACAGTGCATCATGTAATGATGCAAACTATGTTTGTAAAAATTGCTCAAATAAATAAATAAATAAACCTAAACCTGAAATGTCGAAACAAAATCACGTCTTCTTCAGGAATCCGCAATGATCTGTGGCTCTTCCCCCCTTATGTAACTCCAGAATAGTTACATAAAGATGCAAACAGAGAGACATTAACTCTGGGGAAGCCAGACCACCTGCAGTATTGAACAAAAAACATGTGGAGCAAATCTGAAAACCTTTAAATTATGAAAAAAGAAACAGGGGGCAGGCGAAAGGTGGATCTTTGTGGAATTGTGTAGTGACTTGCTACTGTATGTAAAACGTCTTTTGTAATTAATGAATGTTACAGTATGCAAAGTGCAGATTCACATTTTATTTCATTTTTCTATGTGTTTATGTTCTGACATCTATGACTGACTACGTTATTTTTCTGTGAAGGCTCCAGGGATGCAACAAGAGATTCAGGATTTTTCTTTGTAGTTCAGCAACAATCAAACAAAGACACGGCCAAACACTCACCAGTGACTTGTCCTGGGAAAAATAGTTCAAATATCCTGAGAATAGTTTCATCATCTTGGCTCATCACCTGTTTGTTTTAGTTTTGGTCCTATTCCGTCCTCCGTATGCCGGTGTCCTGCCTATTCCGTCCTCCGTATGCCGGTGTCCTAATAATAATAATAATAATACATTTTATTTATAATGCACTTTACATTTGACACCAAATCTCAAAGTGCTACAAACAGCAGCATAAATAAAAGCAAACACATAAAATCAGATAAATGACTATAACAAAATTAGCAGTATGCTTTAAATATGGGTTTTGAGTCCCTTTTTAAAAGCTTCCACCGTCTGTGGGGCCCTAAGGTGGTCCGGGAGGGCGTCCCACAGACGGGGAGCAGCGGCCTCGAAGGCCCGGTCCCCCATTTTCTTGAGCCGTGTCCTGGGCGGGAGCAGACGGTGCTGTTGGCCTGACCGGGTTCTGCCTGAGGAGTGTGGAGTGAGGAGGTCAGTGAGGTAGGTGGGGGCATCACCGTGGAGACAGTGGTGGGTGTGCAGGAGGATCTTGTATTCTATACGGAGGTGAACGGGGAGCCAGTGGAGGGTGTGAAGGATGGGGGTGATGTGCTCATGCTTCCGCACCCTCATCAGGACCCTGGCCGCGCTGTTTTGTACGTACTGGAGCTTTTGAATGCTCCTGCCAGGGATCCCGATGAGGAGTGCGTTACAGTAATCCAACATGGAGGAGACAAAGGCATGGACGAGCTTCTCTGCAGCCGGGAGAGAGAGAGAAGAGCAGAGTTTTGAAATATTACGGAGGTGGAAGAAGGAAGTTTTGCAGATGTGATGTATGTGATGTGTATGTGTAGGTTCTGTCTGGCTTGTGCTCGGTTTGGTCATGGAGTGACAAAATCATGGAAACCCTGGGCTGTTGATGCGTGCATCATTTCTAATTATATGTTAAGAGTAAAGTAAATGAACAAACAAATCTGTTTATCACTCTGCAAGTAAAACCACAGGTAGAAAGGCGAGAGTAACATTGGTGCGTTCTGGCAGAAACAGGAAAGCAGCTACCGAAAAAGACTTGGACCAATACGAAATCAAACATACCCAGAGTTAGTGGCCACTTATGTTCACTGCATGTTCTTTCCTAACAGCTTCAATCAATTGCAAAAGGATTCATACTTGGCTCCCTCACAGAGAATGTTGTCCTGAGAGGAAACCACATTGACTGTCGCTTATAACTCGATCAATCATGTGCTGCATTAGCTTTGTGCTGATCAATAGCAGCTGTTAGATACAGACGTGCTTGTATTTTGACATCTGTCCCTGTTGAGCATTGATGAATCTTTTCATGCGTTGTTGGCATTCAAGTGTTCTGTATGCCCACTCCATACACTCCTTAGCACCACTCAAGAAGGACTGTGCAAGGGAATGTTTTGCCGAAAAAATAGATGTTTGAGTTTTCTTCGGGACATTTTTATCGACTTGGCTGAGTAGTAGTGGCACACAGCCTCTGGATCAATCTGGCCTTTTGTCTGCTACCGTCTCCGTCTTTGCACCTCCTAAAGCCAATTTCCTGGGGGAACCCTAAGGTCAGCAGCACTGGTACACATTCTGTTCCCGTGTCCTGGGCACAGCTGGAAACTCAGCCTTCTATTAACAGTCTACTTTAAGCTGTAAAAGACCAGGAGCAGGGATTCTTTCTGTATCCTAAGGCATTTTTTTATAATGATCCAAAGCAAAAAGGTGTCTAAATGTGTAACGTATTAAAGTAATGAAATACAGACATAATAATTCTGTGGAATAAACATTAGGCAAAGGCAGAAACCTTTAATGAACCCGCTAACTCTGAGCCAGAACAAAGAATATCAATGTTTTTACATCCAGAAAGAAATGGAATGGGGATGAGAGGAGAGGAATAAGAGTTTGCAGAGGGGTAGTGGAGAGATAAGAGATTGAACTGCCCTCATCAATCCCTTCATGCTCACAGCAAAACGTTGAAAAATCAAAAGCCTCTCATGCAAAAGGTGCGTGTGTCTGAATGAGGACAATTAATAAACATAATAATAGTAATTTTCTATTACAATTAGAGCTGTGTGTGAGGGAAGAATATGTCTCGTTCCCTTGGAGAAGAAGCCACTTTTAATTTAGAAATAATGCAAAACACCACCCAGGCTTTATCTACACTATTTTGTGATTAGCGTTGTGTGCTAATGGGTACTGGTACAAAGAAACAAAAACCTAAATGTACCGTGAGTTTGTAGTCTCCACAAATGCGTGCCCCTCCGTCAGGCTTCAACACCGGTACTATTGGTGCAGCCCATTCTGAGAACTTCACTGGTTCAATGACCCCCTGCTTGGTGAGTCTCTCCAGCTCTGTCTCTACTTTCTTCCTCATGGCATAAGGTACGGGCCTAGGCTTGTAGAACTTTGGGCAACATTCTCTTTAATGTATATTTTTGCCGGCGGCCCTCTCCAGGTCCCCAGTTCCTCTTTAAAAACCTCTTCGTTCTGTTTAAGCACATTTTGTAAAGTAAGTGGAGAATGATCCATTTTGTTGACATGCACACAGTTCATTTTCAACTCCCTTAGCCATGCTCGACCTAGCAGGTTTGGCCCTCTGCCATCTACCACGACCAGTGGTAACTGTTTAACTTTGTCCTTGCACGTCACAGTCACTTTTGTAGTCCCTAATGTAGAGACTTTTTCCCCGTATATGTTTTCAAAGTCAATGGGCAATTTTGCAGTTCTTGTGCCTTTCCTTCTGGCCACAACTTGCTGTATTCAGTCTTAGTCAAAATTGTCACACTACAGCCTGTATCCACCTCGAACATTACTTTTTTTCCATTTATTACTAGCTGTGTGGTAATAGGGTCTACCTTTTCTAACTTTGATTCTTTTACTTTGTGTAATGTAAACACTTGTGTCTCAGAGGACTCATCCATGTGGTGTGCATACTGTTTTTTTTCCTTACGGCTACCTTTCTCCCCCTTCACAAAACTCTTTCCACCCCCCTTAGTCTGCTGGGCACTCGGAGGCGCGGACCTGCACATTTTCTTCACGTGCCCTTTTTTACCACAGCCATGACATTTTTCATTTATAAAACGACAGTCCGCGCAAAATGATCACCCCCACACCTATAACAGTCTGATGGAACGCTCTTACTTTGTCGTTTATTCTCCGTTCCCACTTTATGCACTGTCATTGGTGTTGCATTTTTCCCGCCGCACTGTCCAGCGTCGGCTGCAAGTCACGCACATCCCTGTTTGCTGTTTCGATGGCCTGCGCGATTTTCAAGGCTTTTTCAAATGTCATGTTGGGCTCCGCCAACAGCCTCCTCTGTATGCGGTCCTCCGCAATGCCACACACGAGCCTATCCCGCAGCATCTCCTTCAGCTTGTCCCCGTAGTTGCAATGTTGAGCCAGCTCCCTCAGCACAGCCACATACTCCGTCACAGTTTCGTTTGCCGTTCTAGTCCTGGAATTAAATTTAAATCTCTGAACTATTTCACTGGCTTTGGATTGAAATGTGACTGAAGCAGGTTAGTCAACTCCGTGAATGACTTATCACCAGGTGTGTCCGGGCTCAACAAGTTTCTCATCAAACTGTATGTCTTGCTTCCAACGGAGCTCAGCAATATTGCACGCTTTCTTCTTGCATCAGTGATGTTATTAGCCTCGAAGAAGTGTCCCAAAACCTCACAGTACTCCTCCCAAGTCTGCGCTTGACTGTCAAATACCGAAAGCGTCCCCAGCATAGCCGCCGCCATTCCTCCGGCAACTGCGTTAGCCTGGTTAGCTCCCTCGTTGTCCGACATTGGCCGAAAATCAATTCAGAAACGCTCGAGCCGTTTTCTTCCCCACAGCGTCCTCGAGCTCACCAGTATCCTCGTCGCCAAATGTAGTATCCTTGTCATTAAAGAAGTCATAAACACCGGGTGGCTTACACGGGGTTTTAATCATCAACATGCAGCCAACAACATAACAGAGACTGAACCCGCCAAGTGCACTCTTATTATCCCCCTTATCCCACACTGCCACCTATAGGTTTGTGGTAAGATAACACTATCCTATATTACATCGGGGGCTTAAGTGTTTGAGCGTTTGCGGGTTGAATGCACCACTAAGCATGTTTCCTGAAACACATATATTATCAGGTCTCCTCTCCTTGTTCTGCACATAACCTTTTAAATTCCTGTCCATTAGCACTCAAACTCCTTGCGTTCATTGATTGATTTCATACTACTCTCTCATCCCCCTCCCACACCCACTCTCTTCTCTCCTCCAACCTTTTGTCCACCAGTTCCCAGGAAACACTCTATACCGAGGTACTTTTCGTCCCTTCACACATAGTACGTATTTGATTGTTTTATGTTTGCTGATGCGCACATTATGACATTGCTTGAAACACCATCAAAATCTCCACGACACATATTTACTCAATCACACTCTGCGTCTTTTCCTCTAGCATCACTCTGGTCTCCATTCGCTCCTGGGTTTTGATTTTGAACTTTCCTCACTGCTCTCTGATAAGAGAATTATTCACAAACATTCACTCTCTGCATCGCAGTTTTTCCTCACTTACACTCCACTAGGTACATCATTGTTGCCCTCCGCAGTTTATACCCATTTAAAAACTCACAACCCACCTTTACTTTTCGGGAGTACTGTCACTGTAAATAAGTTAAAAGGATATAAGCTCTCCACATGTGACTTCAACTCGCTCATCATTCCACTCAAGCTCCACCCTAACAGTGGTCTACAGTAGGTACCATTTCGTTTTGTCGTGTCATTCACGCTTTTCCTGGAATAGCAGCCTGCGTGAAAACATATTACATTTATCGCATAGGTGGCAGGTTAAGTCCGCTTTTGCTCTGCCAGCGACTGAAACGCTCAGGCGAAGGCGTTCGGTCATTGCGTGGGGACCATGGGGACATGTCCCCACCATATTTTGGTGAGGACTAAAAAAGATCCCCACCAAATGACATGATGTTCCGATGGGACCCGGACTGAGACCTTTTTCACGGCCACGCTTCTCCGCCATTTCCGCCCTTCGCGGAGAAGCAACTTCGGTTTGCGGTGGTTAAGTCAAATGACAGGGTCATACTTTTCCAGAACCGAGTTGAAATATTCAATATCTTCTGATTTTCAGAAACTGTCCTTCGGGCTTGTAGGGAGCATCGGTATGGTACATTTATGGAATATTTCTCCCTAAAAGGTTTGTGTATTAGTAAAATTGGTGGTTTGTCAAGCTAAAGGGCTAAGTTGAGGCAACCAGTTACTGCAGGCTGTTTCTTCAGAACACAATCTTTAGTTATAAAATAATAGTATTGCTTAATAAGTTCAAGACTAAAGGTGTATCTACATTAGTTTTATGTTTGGTTTTTTCTTTTCTTTTTTTACTAGAATTGGCATCCAGAAAATCTTGCTGTGTGCCTCTTTGTTCAGCTACAATGGAGAACCATCCTTCATAAGTTTTCACGGAGTTCCCCATGGATGTTGGTAGACGTGCAAATGGATTGGGCCTTGTTTCGGAGAGATCGAGGGTCCAAATTTTAAGGTGAGACAATGGGCGCAGTGCTGTTGCCGTTTACATTTTGGACCAGATGACCTTAACTCAAAGGAGTTTGAGGAAGGTCCAGAATTCTGTGCCATCAAATTGTGTTTGGAATTAATGGAGTAAGGTAGTGTGAGTGTCTGTGTGTGTTGTGTTTGTGTTGTGTCCTAATGGCAGCAAAAGGTATTACTGAAATAAATAATGTTTATTCAAAATAATTAGGTGCTTATTGGCTAATGTTTTTTCCACATAATCATTCTGAACGTATTGTAAAACATAATGCACTTTTATATTGTTGTTTGTAAAGGAAAAAAAGAAGTAAAGGAAAGGCCAACAAGGCACCGAAGTTTAGAGGATCAATGAAGGGGGGAGTGCGAAGATCTTTGTCCCGTGAAGAGCTTGAGAGAGAAGATGGTGGTCTGCCACACAAGGAACCAGTAGCAAAGGGTTTAGGACCATGATTACACAAGCATCCTTCTCTGGTGAGTTTCATACGGCAAGTCTGCACTTAAGAGCAAGTTAAAAAGTGTCACCTGGACCTGGATTTATTGGTTTGAGAACAGGAATTGTAGTAGCTTACTCTGTCCAAAGGGAGATGTAAACTTTTGGAAAGCTGTCCAGTGATAATTTGATAGCGGGATGACTATTTTGTTCAATGCTGATGAATGGGGGTTATAACGCTTTATATATTGGTATTCTTTTTAGGACCAAGGTAGACAGGGCTGGCAATGCAATTAAGGACTTGGAGCAGGAAGGTGTTTGTCTGGCAGCGGGGAAAATAATTAACTAACATTTAAAGACCGAGCTGACCTTTCTTATATACAAATTTTGTTGTAAAGATGAGGCTTTCGTATTATTGTCGTTTTTCTTCTATAGAGAGGTTTTTGAAGATTTTTATGGGAGTTCTATTAAGCTTCTGCATTCCAATTTGTTTATTGGGTGTAAGCAAGATGTTGAGTAGTTGAAAAACCAAGCCCTATGAGAAAAGCTTCGCTCATTGATTGAATATTTTTTCTTTCGCAGCCATGGCAAGGGACAACAAAACAGACAGGACTCAGAAGTGACATATACAGTTTTTTTTTATTAACAACCAAATCCCAGTTCAAAAAGGAGTGTGAAAGAAGTTAAGATTTTTAACTCCCACCTCTTTTTATTCCTTCTAAATGAACTAAACTAACTGATGTGGTTGCTACAGTGTTGGATTATGCCGTGGTATTTTTACAATCACATGCACTTGATTTGTACAGTGTATGTCTAATATGATTCTATATAAAAGTTTATTAATATCCCTTTTATAGTTTACAGTATCAGTCTTACTATCTAATTTATCATATTTTAATCCAAATAAGATTTATAATTATTTTCTTTATCATGTACATTATAGAGTAATGTTTTAGATTTTACTATATATATATCATATAATTGTTGGACATGTGATTACTGGTAAATATAAATGGTATTCTATTATGGTGGTTATACTTTATTCACTCTTGTGTCAGCTTGTGCATGTTATTCACTAAAACTCACTAGGATAGGCTTTGTATAAGAGTGCTTTTGGTCAACAATTCTAAAAACTTGGTCTACATTGTGGATTTTTTTTTACCACCATATCAGTGGTAGCCTTGGTGAATCCCCTAGAAAATATTAAAATAACAATTCAGATGAGCTCCACTTTGACATTCAAGGTTTACAGGTTCCTAGGCCGGATGCCATGATTGCAAGTGTAATTGTGCAGGATAGACGGATTTAAGGGCACAGTTTTAAAGCCCAGTGTACGATAGTGAGCCATTTGGTTATAGAAGAGCCACCAGGGTGATTGCACAATCGCCTACCAGCGGCACTACGAGCATGAGATTCTTGCACAGTTGGGTTATTTACATGGAAAGGAAGGATATCTGTGAAGTGAAAACAACTGTGAGAGAGTATATAGGCAACAGATGGAAAATTTACTGGACCCTCCCTTTCAAAGAACCTATTTTTGTACACTAAGTAAGTAAACTGAAGATGTATGGAGCTTCCTGTGTTTCTTCATTGACCTGTGACTCTTCCCTCACGGTTAAACCTCACCGTTGAACTACTTAGATACTGATGAAAATATCTTGTAAGAATGTAAGAATCTCTGTTGAATATTATTGTTATGAGTAAACAATTTTCCTAGCTTTTTTCATAATATTATCCAATCTTATAAATTCTCACTCACACTGGAAGTTGGGCAAAATATATCTTCATTAAGAATGTGTAGCTTTGTCCAGTAAGAACATTTGGTCAATGAAAATTTGTCCACAATTCTCTGGAATCAGCAAATGTATTTGAGGAACGATTCAAAATTGATATTGTAAATTCATCTTTAAATTCTCACGCTGCAACTAAAAAAGAAGAATAATTATGAATTGTTAAATAGAAACACCTGGTCTCAGAAATCACATTCACAATGTAGTCTCTTTTTTAACATGGTTACATCCGGATTATTGTTTAATATAATGCTTTTTAAGCAAAAAAGAACAGCGTGCAGGTAACTGGGATGCTAACTTCGCCCTTTAGTTGCAAACCACCGATTTCTACTAAGACACAAACCTTTTAGGGAAGGAAATATTCCAATAAATGTTGACGTACCGAGTGCTCCCTCTCATAGCTGAAGGGAAGTTTCTGAACAAACGCAGAAAGATATTGAGATATTTCAACTCGTTTCTGAAAAGTTTGTTTGTCCTTGACTTTACCGCAACGGAAGTTGCATTATCGGAAGGCGGAAGGATTGGCGGAGAAGGGGCGTGGCTGTGAAACAGGTTGTATTCGTTTGTGCACACGTTCGCGCAGCCTCTTGCCTCCAGAGCAATCAGCAGCAGCAGCAGCAGGACCCGTTTACGTTCTGCAGTGATTGGGCTGTCTTCTTCAAGCGCCAAATGAAGCAGCGCGACTGTTTAATGTTTTTTAATGTTAGCCAGGTGAGCAAGTGTTTTTTCTGTTCCTCTGAAGCGTGTGTAGCACGTGAGTAATCCGAGGGGAAAGTACTGTAGACGCTATTATTCAAAGTTTACGTTATTTCTACTTGTTAGCGCACTGTTATATGTGCCGAGGAGCTACACTGCACAGAGACAGAAAGATCTGGCTCAATAAAGAAAACGTAGGTTTTGAAAGGCTGAAAAAATACTTATTGTGCTCCTTACCATCCAAATATGTCTAATGGGTGTGTTGTTGGGTTGAATAGGGAATAAAACTGGGATGAAAATATTCCACGGATACGATTTACACCTTTATCTGCTG